AAAAAATAATATGTACATATAGTACAATTTTAAAAAAAATATATATATATAGGTAATATCATATAGGAAAAATAATTAAATAAAAGAAAATAATAACAACTATATATGACAATAATAATAAAATAAAAATATGTGTACAAAACAAATAAAATACGATATATATATATATATATATATATATTAGAAAATAACATAGAAATAATTTAAAAAATAATATATATTAATAATGGGTATATAGGTAAAATATATAAAAGATACGTATATGTACAACAAATTAAGTACTATGAAATAAATAAAAATAATAGTATAAGTATCAAGTTGAATTGAAATATACACATATACGATTATAGGGTATTATACTAGAAATAAGAAATGATTATAAGCATAATTGGTAATTCATGTATATTAATAATGTTGTACCAATAAAATGTAAAGAATACACGTATATCAGCATAAATAATACAAAATAATATACGATAATAATACAAGGATTTAAACGTAATAATTATATATATATATATATGGTGTCTAAATTGAAAATAGAATGAAATTCAAGGCCAGATTTGATAAGAATTCGAATTACACTTAGAATCAAAGGGGCAAATTATAACTTTATAAAAACAGAGGCATCAAATGCACGGTTTAACCGTTTTAAAGAAAATATCTGGATTGTTAAATAAAATTAAAACAAATGAAAACTCATTCTCCTCTTCTCGCCAAAACGAGCCTCCCCTTTTGCCTAAATGCTCTCGCCTGTTCTTCAGAAATGAAGAACAGGGCCGTGGTTCTTCATGAACCCAGAAAACGCCACCCTACGCCGCCTCGCGTCGCCGTTGAATGGCGCCGGCCGTCGTTCATTGGCGGCAAAACTCATCTCTTCTATTTTTTTTGAAATCTCGAAAACTTTTGAAATCCCTTTCTGAAAACAAAGATTGTTTTTCAAAAATCGATTAGGAAAAAAAAACCTAGATCTAAAAAAGTTTTGAAAGAAAAAAAAAATAAATCGAATGGCCTCCCTTTCGTTCCTCGACCGAAACGTTTTTTTTGTTATTTGTGTGGTTTTGAAGTCAAATCTCAAGCAACACTCAACATGCAACAGTGAAAGACGAGTGAACAGAGGTAAAAGATGCTACCTTCTTCTTATTTCCTTTTCGAAAGTGTTACAAAAGGCTTCGAAACTGCTTGATATTTCTCTCAATATTTCGTATGACTTTCTTTCCAAGTTCCGTCGTGATTTCTTTTTTTTCTTTAAAAGCTTCTAATTACATGGCTTTATAGTGATAACCTAGGCTATTTTTAGAGTTTTAATCCGAGTAAAACTCGGTTTGTTTGTGGTCACAATCCATGACTCTGACTTGGTTGTTTGTCTTGGGTGTTCTATGTGGTCACGATGCCGAGAAAACCGGATGTGGGAGACGTGCTGCGCGAGGGAGCTTCGACCGGGTATTGCGGCGCTGGGGCGAGAGTCTTGCTAGGGTTTTCTGGGCAACCCTTGGATACCATTTGCTGTGGACCGTTGGATCTCATCTAGATCCAACGGTCACCATTGTTGGCGGCTGGATGAGAGGTTGAGAGATTAGGGTTTACATAAACCCTAATCCATACTGGTTTGGGCAGCTGGTCACTTGGGTCATGTGGGATTTGGGCCATTACTGTTGGGCCTGTAACAGGAGAGAAAAGAATGTAAATAAACCATATATATATATTATAACTTATAACATAATATAATATTATATATACGTATGTATTATGATGGACGAATTTAAGTGTCTTCAGAAAGTTAGGTCCATTTTCATTCAAGTAATGCATTCTTTTCCTTGTAAGTACTGAATATTGAGACTATGAAAATTATGTTTTAAATAATCATGCAAAGCTTTTACTTTTCACACCTTTCTTTTTAGTCCTCTATTTGCCAATTCACTTCTTTGGTAACTAAATAAATTTTCAGAATAAATTAGCTGACCCTATTCCCATATGTTATAATTCCCTCTTAAACAAATTCATCCTCAAATTTCACTTGAGGCTTCATCTGATCCTTAAGCTCCTAAATTGCTTATTCGTATTGGTGATTTCTCCTTAAAAAAAACTTTCATAAGAAGAATTTGCTTATTCTGAAACTCTTTTACTTGACAAGTTAAAATATAAATTGATTCTTTCTTAGAAACTTAAGTTAGGTTGGATTTTCACTTATTCAGATCATATGATATAAGAAGGATCGTATCGATATTAATCAACATGGAAGATAAAACCAATCAATAGGATATTGGTCAACTTGTTCCGAGACTAATAATTAATTATTTATAATCCAACATTAAGGATATTAAAAATTTTGGTCACTCAACTATTAAGGGCTAACAATCGGTGATGTGGTGATGCATGAACTAACTTACCTTATTGGTTAAAAGAATTGTTGTTGTCCTAGAGGTCATGGGTTCAAACACTAGTGACGGCAAGGGTGATTAATCGTTCGTTGTCAAATAGTTGAGAATATTTAAAACATATATTACTTACATCTCCAACTCTCTTATAGGTTTCTGGAGAAGAGATTTCCTTTAGGGGTCGTTTGGATGAATAGAATCCACATTCCCCCCGTTTGGTTAGCCCGTGAATTTTATTTCCGGAAATGTAAGATTACCAATAGTGGATTTTTTGGGGTATATTATCGGGAATGTCATTACCTCCGTTTTCTTAGGTATTGTTGGATTATCAGCGTTTTGGACTAAAATGCCCTTAATTTTTTTCCCCAAAAATATCATTCTTCTGTCATTGAATAATAAAAATTCTATGAAGGTTAAATTACAAATTTATCCTTAAACTATTTTAGATTTACAAAAAAGTCTATAATTAAAATTTTATATAAAATTCAAAGGTTAAAATAAAAATTTACCCTTTCATTAAACCTTTTTATATTTTCAATTTTATAAAAAAATTATATAAATTTTATGAATTTAAATTTTTTAAAGAAAATATATAAATATTTTCTAACTTGTTAAAAAACAAATATATAATAAGGACAATTTGATCAAATATACATTTCAATAATCTTTTATTCATTTAACCAAACACGGTAATCTTACATTCTTGCTAAACCAACCAAACACAAAATACAACATTCTCAATAATCCTATTCCCTGATAATCATACATTCTCACTGGTAATCTTACATTCCGTGAACCAAACGCACCCTTAGTGTAATTCTAGTGAGAAATTATAAGTTCAAAATAGCTATATGAGAAAGAGAATGTTATTTATTACATTATACTATTACTTCTTTTAAAAGAAGGGGTTAACTTGAATATTTGTGCTGTCGAACTTGCGACAACTCCGAGTATTTGGACCTTAAAATATGATTTTTTTTTTCTATTAAAAACTAAGTAACTCCAAATAAAAAAGGGTAAACTATACATTTAGTAACTAAACTAATACTTGTGTTTCATTTTGGTATCCAAACTTTATCTTTTTCAAAATCATACCTAACATTTAGTTTAGCTTTCAAATCGGTACCGGACTTTAAAAAAAATAACAGAATTGTTGACGTGATATTTTTCAATGATGACATGACATTATCTTTTGGTGACACGTCAGCATCACTGTTAAGTTTTGAACGATGAAGTATCAAATTGAAACTTAAACTAAACTTTAACTATAATTTTGAAAAAAATATAAATCGGGTATCAAAACGGAACAAAAATAATAGTTTAAGTACAAAATGTGTAGTTTTTCATAAATAAATTTTATAATATGATGACTTATTTTTAATAAAAAATAGTAATGAAAAATGGAACTTCAATTGCTTGCAGCAACTCTGCGTGAGCTCTAACTGATATCTGAAACGAGGAAGCGACGTTTGGGGAAAAAATGAGAGGAAAAAGATAAAGAACCGACGCCGTTTAAGAAAATAAACAAGCAAATTGGCCCATGCAGGTTTCGAACCTGCGACCTTCGCGTTATTAGCACGACGCTCTAACCAACTGAGCTAATAGGCCGTTGCTCAGCATGTTAACTATGTATTTATATATAGTTTAGTAATTCTTTAGTCAATTCAGTTTTTTTCTATTTTCTATTTGAAAGTTAGGTCCATTTACATTTGAGTGATGTGATATTTTTATAAATAATTTACACTGATACTATGAAAATAAGGAATAACAATCAATATGCATGAAATTGTGTTGATTAAGTAATATTTTTTATATTCAACACTATAATAGCATATGAATAACATTATATAATTTATTGGATGATGTGAAGAGATTTCGTATTATTTATATTTATTATGGTACTATCACATCATCGATTATTATAGTATGAGTAAATTTTTTAATATATTTAATATCATAGTATAAATAGGTAACATTAATAGTAGAGGGATTAAATTTTCATTTTTTAATAGCTAAAATATTATTTGTATAACTTATAACACATGATAAATTTTATAGTTAAAATATAAATAGAATGTGATAAATAATATATTATTGATAAATTTTTATAAACGATTAATCTATGAGAATAAACAGTAGATTATATACCATAACTTTATAATATAAAAGTGTGCTTATACTTTATGTATTATAATATGATATTTGATAGGTTGATTCGTTAAGTTACATATTTTTAAATGTAGAAACTCTTGTTTTTTAATTGATCACATCTATTCGATCTATCGATTAATTAATCAAGATCGGGTATTGTAGAAACAATGACGATCCTCTCATCCCAATTTATTCTATTTGCAAACGTCAGGGTTCAAACTCCTGAACTTACTTAAGGAATAAAGTGCTTAATCGCACTATACCAACTAGTTGTTGGTAATGTATAAACTCTTATTAATTTAGTAAATTGTTAACCCCTTCTTTTAAATGAAATAATTAAGAGCAAAGAATGCACCGAAGGCTCGAGGGTCGCTAACGAAGACCTCTTGCCTATCTGCTTGTTGAGTCCATTTAAATCTGAACAAGTTGTGGATTGTACAAAGATGCAGCAAGTTGATGTTCTTCGGAGCATCAGCCATTGGTGCCCCGTATAGCCAGTTCTGCTGGAACACAACCCATCGGTCCCGTGCCTGTCACTAGAACCCTACGTGCTCCCGCCTTGTATAGAGTCTGCAATAGTATTGGACAAATTGGGGTTCACAAACTTCAAATGCATGAAAAGATTGGTTTTCTAGTCTTTAACATTCACACACATTTAACCAAATATAGTAAGGTTCAAATCTGATCAAGGAAGAACCAAACAGTTGAAGCACAAACTGGATGTTGCGTGCTTGCTTGCTGCAAAAGCAAAACAAGAATCTGCGCTTGTATTCTTCAAACAAACCTGAACATTCTGTGTCATAAACTTATTTAAAGAAACCCGAACCCGATCTCCTCGTACCGTGGGGCGTTTAATAAGGAATATAAGTCACACTCATGCCAATGGGGAATTTGATAACTTAAAATTGAACTCCAGTGTCATTAAGGATTCCCACACCGTTGGCACCAATAAGCAGCCTTTTCCCATTGAAGTCTGGGCTCAAATATTGCAATGGGATTCTGATAACCCAATTTCTGACCTGCAGGCAAGCATTTGAAGTATCATATAATTTATGTTGTCTTCTCAACAAGACAACGACATTAAAGAAACACAGAAAGCAACACTACTAGAAACTTAACTAATCAAGTCTGGGATGTTAAGGCCGTTAGAGAACCGCCCGGTGGCTCTCCGACCCGGATAATCGATCCCATAAGGTGGAGAATCGGCCCAAGCAGTTGTTGCAAGGTAGTTGTTGTTGTTGCCACTATCGACAAGGGAATAACCTAAAATAAAGAATGCTCGAGCGTCAACCAATGGAGCAATGCTCCCAAAGGCCAATAGGAAGATCAAAACCATCGAAAAATCCAAAACTTCGATTAAGGAGCCATTAGCAAGAGACTTGTATGTGCATTGGAAAACTCATGAGGGGGTTTGCTACTTTGCTTTATAGACCTGGAATTTCAGCCACCATTGAATTAAAAGAAGCTCCAAAGCAAAAATAAAAAGGCAAGCTGCTTTGGTAATTGTATATCCTACTTAATACCAACTTTGCTATTCCGTTTTTAATCACCGCCAGTAGACGTGAAGATGGAATCGGCACCCTTTTGAGGGAATTATTGCAAGTGTTACATTTTACATGACAATGATCTGTCTGGACTGGCAATTGGTTTCTCAGTCACAGAGAAACTAGCTTGGTTAGATATGAATTTATATCATAACAACATCATTGAAAATCATCATTTTGACCATTGGTACTTTACAGATATACAAATGGCAAAAATTTTGGATGATAGAAGTCTTTATATAAATATATACTCAGCGGCGGATACACCATTATTTTAGGATGGTGCGTGCCTACCTTGAAATTCAAATTTTCTTCAACTAGTTATCTATTTTCTTAGCTGTGCCCACCCTGATATTTTATTTGTTCCCATCGCATAAAATTTTATGTTATTAATACATGTGTGCCACCCTAAAAAATATTTATGTATATGCCACTATATATATTGCCAAGGCATGCACATTGGCTTGCTGTTTGATCTTTGTATATGAAGAATGGTGATGGAAACAATTAGGCCACAACGGCTATAAACAGTGCATCTCATCTGGTTTGTCGAAGAGTCGCAATTGGTGGTTAGATTATCTCTTATTAGTATTACGTGAGCGTAAGGTGGTTAATTTGTTAGTTTGTTGATTAGGTTATTAGCTTATTGGTTGAGTCGGTTTTCATGTATAGGTGTCCTATAAATAATCCTCGTATGTATATCAAGAATACATGAATTGGAGGCTTTATAGTGATTCTTGATGTGAGTGTCAGACATATGATTACTATCACTATCTATAGATTAACAGAGTAGATGAACTCAATTAATGTGATCAATTATCAGTTGAGTTTAATTTTAGAAGTTCACGTGAGATTTGTTAGATGAACCTGATTGATGTAACCTTTGTCTTTTTAGCCAACGTATTAGGGGAAAATTTAATTTGTAAACATTGTAAGACAAACCATGATTAATCTCAACTAACAAATCGGCATATTAGTGTGCTTACTTGATCGGAGGATCGTTTACGTATTTATATTTGTATTTGATCTTTCAATTAAATCGAGAGAGTTGAGTATCTAGTGAGAGGACAATGAAATCATGTATATTGAATAGAGAATATGAATTGAGTTCTTGATCTACATCCCTCTCTTCCTTATATACAACTCTACATAGTTGTTATAGTCTTAACAAACTTTGTAACTAAACATTAACAACCTCAACTTATCATTAACAACAATCTTCTAGAATCACTATGCAACATGCACTAGAGCTCAAGTAGTGTAGGAGCACGATCGTTGATGCTCACTAATTCATTATGCTAACATTCCCTCTACTTCTTATTCTTCTGTTCTTCTGACCTTGAACACACTATTATAGCAAGTTCTAAAAACTAATTACAACTAATTTCTAACATTCAACCTCCTTGATGAAAAGATGAACAATTGAATCGAAAGTGTTGATGCTTCCTTCCGTTTACTTGAATCGAAAGTGTCGATGCTTCCTTTCGTTCTTCTTGAATCGAAAGTGTCGATGCTTCCTTTCGTTCTTCTTGAATCGAAAGTGTCGATGTTTCCTTCCGTTCACTTGAATCGAAAGTGTTGATGCTTCCTTTTGTTCTTCTTATTCACCTTCATTTATTTTTTCTTCATCATATATTTACAAGGTTCTTTGACATATATTTTTTTATGGACACTTGGCTGTGAAGCTTTCAAGTCCGTTGTGCATGTGGAAATTGCCACATATAAGTGCATATGATTGTGTTGGATCTTCACCAACAAGCAAGGCCGCAAAACGAGCAAGCCATCCCTCGTCCTGTGCAGAAGGTCCCTGTGGATTGCAATGATTAACTACTATTTGACCTTGCTCAGAAGCTCGGGGACCCTCATTCCTTGAAGAAGAATAAGGTGTTGTTTCATCATCAGAATGAATCGAAGGAGTGCATGTCGTACTATTGGGTCTACTGGGCTTTCTTTTTTGAAGTCCACTTGATGGTACTAGCTCAACATCGTCGCTCTTCCCCCTCAGGACATTAAGATTAGATCCATCTTCAACATGGAATTTCAGACCTGAATCTGGACCCAACTTTGATGCAAGGACAGTTGCAGCAGCAGCCTTTGCTGCTGGATCAAGATCATATCTCTGAATAAGCTGTTGTGTAATGTAATAATTTCTCATCTCCTTAAGTTCATCAATTTTTACTTGCCTTTCAGCACGAAGTCTTTCTAGAGTTTTCTTGTCCCTCTCATCACACATCTTTCTGATGCTTGCAAATGCAGAATAAGCAATAGAAGAAAAGGCATGCAAAAGGAACGTTGGCAAAACCCCAAATGCCCTCATTTTCCAATCTAAATCCACGGATTTTGTTGTCATGATGGCATGTGGAAGGGCATATCCTTCATAGATTGTCACAGCATGAGAAACACCATCACCAGAATCCAGCGTAATGCATGTAGTACGACCACTAGCATACAAAGAAAGAACAACCTGGATGGCAACGTACATGGCAGGTACATTGAGGATCTCAAACATAATCTGCTGCTCGAGGCGAAAATGCAGTCACAATAGTGTAGGCAACAAACATTATGTTGATTATATTCCAAAATACTTGGAGAAGCAGTATGAATTGAACTGGTCTGAGTGGCTCGGTCAGGCAATTCAACAAACAGATGACAAGCGCAAGCGAAAAGAAATATTCACACAGCAAGCATAAACCAATCTGAGCAACACATCATTAAAACATAAATATTGCTAGCTATGACGAACTGAGACCAAACCAAGCAAGAATGTAAAAGAACCTCATAATGGTACATCAGAGAAAGTACTAGGCATAGATGACTTAACATAACAGTGATGATAGAACATCCGCAACAATGATTTAGAGTAGTGAGATTCAAACTAACAAACCATTGACGTTGATAGAGAAAGAGGAAATCGACAATTGAGAAGAAGAACGACGAAGATCCATATTCTGATCAGCAACCACATCCGTTAATCAAATAGAAACATCATACCAGAACTACTGAGCAACCACCTTCTACGCCAACAAGCACGATGAACTAACAAGAACGCCCTGAGTTACGCAGCAAGAAGACAAGAGGCTCCAGGAACTTATGGCGATTGATACCATGTTGAGTATCTAGTGAGAGGATAATGAAATCATGTATATTGAATAGAGAAGATGAATTGAGTTCTTGATCTACATCCATCTCTTCCTTATATACAGTTGTACATAGTTGTTATAGTCTTAATAAACTTTGTAACTAAACATTAACAACCTCAACTAATCATTAACAACAATCTTCTAGAATCACTATGCAATATGCACTAGAGCTCGAGTAGTGTAGGAGCACGATCGTTGATGCTCACTAACTCCTTATGCTATCAACATTAACAACAATCTTCTAGAATCACTATGCAGCATGCAGTAGAGCTCGATCAGTGTAGGAGCACGATCGTTGATGCTCACTAACTCATTATGCTAACAGAGAGACTCGAGAATTCTTTGCTTATTCCAATTTGCTTCTTCAACGTTCAAAGCAAAGGTTTCAGAATTTTAATAGTTCGACGCCATTGAAAATGCTAGATTTGAGTGAGATGATGTGTGGAATGCCAACTTAAGAGAAGAAGGAGAAGTGAAACAAAAACATTTTGGTATCATTCATATTGTAAAATATGACCGATGACGGTGGTGTTTGGTTGTTGGTGACGGCTGAAAAGCGCTAATGCTAAAAAAGAAATCTGACTAAAAATTTAGTGACAAAATGAGTATATCCTTCAAGTTCAATGTCTAAAATCACGTCGTTTTAGACATTATAATAACCATACCAAAATGACATCGTCTTGGTGTGGTAGGCAACTTTAACAACTGTTAGTCATGTCATCGTCCTGTTATTAATTTAACAATAGAGTGGTATAATTAAATGTAAAGATAAAATTTAATGTTATAATTGGTAAAATTAAAAATTTAATAGTATCAACAAATAAGCGATTATAATTCAATGACATATAAAGTAGTTTTTTTCCAAAATTAAATGATGATGATAAAGACATAAATATATTATGGGACAAAAATGTAATTATACAAGTTAATATAATGTTGATATAAATATATATTCATTTATTATGAGATAATGTTTTCAAATGCAAACATAGATTTGGGGGGAATGACACTTGAAAATGACGAGGTTTAGTTTTGTACCTAAATTAATTTTGATATTGACTCCTTAAGCTACATTATTATTTTTTTTGTTGTCCTTTCGATTTCAAGGCTTCGTCTTGATTAATTCAGACCGACTCAAGCCGCACACCTGGTTGTGGTGGGTGAATCTCCCAGCAAGAATTTTCTACATATATAAAGAATCGAACTTGAGATTTGTTAAGCTACATTATTATTGTTGGCCGAAGAAAAGAAAAACGATAGCTTCATAATTATCAACACAATTGACAAGTCATTTACAATAAATAGTATTGATAAAACTAAACAAAATATTGTTAATTTACTTTATTTTCCCTTTCATTCAATGAGGTTTGCATGTGAAGTCTATTAATTAGCTGTAATTTGTTTGGTAAGACATTAATTATCCCTTGTAATTTCAAGGGTTTGAATGATTTCACTATGAGATGTTAGTAGGATCGATTTTATTTATTAATTGATTATTTTAGATTGGATTTTGTAGATGCTAATTATAAGAGAGGCTCTCCCGACTCAATTACTCCATTTGCACATGACAATATTTGAATTTCTGACCTTACTCAAGGGATCTAGTGTCTCATCCCACTAAATCAACTGATTATTGGTGCAAACAAATTATTTTAAGTGATAAGTTATTTCTCATAATATTTTAGTTCTTAGCTAATTAACAACGTGTACATACCCTGCATACATGACTACTCGAATTTAAATCTCTAAGAGAATGATGTTCTCTTTTATTAGTGAGACTACTTAATGATGATAACGTAAAACAAAACGAGGGGTGACTACTTATTTACTCATAAAAACAATCTAAAAACATTACATGATTAGAACTTATTCAAACCACACCAACATAATAATCAATCCATCCATGCCAAGCAAGCAAACAATAAAGGTTTAACAGAAGGCGCAACTTATCCCTTATTAGAATGCTAAACTAATAAACTAAGTCTTGGTTTTAGTGTCCAAAGCCAAGAGGGAGCTAAGGTTCATGGGCTTCATGTAATTTGTCGAACCACTCAAGATCATGTTCACGATTATCCCGTTAGCCTTCTCCGATGGATGGAATGCATCCCAAAAAGCATACAAATCTCGGTTTGGACACACATTCGATATCGCCGTACATAATCCCAACCCATTGTAGGGTCCTTGCCCACAACAAGCTACCTTGGATGTTGTAAATCCTGCAAAGAAAACCAAGTAAATATCCATATACTGAAATTGGTATTAAAAAAAAATAGATTTTAAAGTGTTCTATTGTTGATGGAAACAAGTTTGTCTCGTCGGACGTTAATTGTTCACCCCTTTTACTATGGTAGCTTTCATCCTAATTTATTAGTGATAGTACGTGGGGGTAGGTTGCTGCAATAAGTATATATTGGCTTTTTTATTAGGTCAACAAATGTCACATTTTGTTGTTCATCTTTGTCCCCATCTTTCATTACTCTTAATTGTAATAATTCCCCTTTTTTATGCAAATTTGTGAATTTATTCAATTATTCATGTAATTCAACGTGTATGGATTCGGGTTCACTTACCATAGGCTGCAGGGTCATTAATGAAATCAGTGGTTTGCTGTTGTGTATTAGCAGCAATGAAAATATTTGCACCATATTGGCTATTGAGCTCATTTATCATGTCAACCAATTGTGGATTGTACAAGGCCGCAGCTCGTTGCAATTCGGCGGCACACTCACCGCTTGGGCTCCTCATGGCTAACTCCGCCGGAACACAACCCATCGGTCCCGTCCCGGTCACCAGAACCTTCCGAGCTCCGAGATCATACAGCCTCTGCAATTATAGTTTGTAAGCTACAAATCTCCAAGTATCTTTCATGTTACTGTGACACAATGTCAAGAAGAAAAATTACCATTAGAAGTTTCTTGTACTCGGAGATGAGATATCGAACATAATCCGGTAGACTAAATTGACGAGATCTCGGAGAGAATGGAATCAAGTAGTAGTTGTTTACAAAATCATTGCCGCCGACCGTGATGAGCACGAGTGCATCATTTACGATTCGCGTTGCTTCGTCGTACCCTACGAGGTCGGTCAGCCGGGCCTGGTATTGTTCAAAGTATTTCAATTGCTTGTACATTCTGATAATGTTGATCTGCCAAGAAAAAGTGTCAAAATGGGGTTGAAAGGTTAAAGAAAACGTGGAGTCTGAGGTTTCAGTGTTTACAAATTGGATGCCAGTGTCATTGAGGATTCCAATGCCAGCTGAAGCAAAATTGGCTCCAACAAGCAGCCTATCTCCCTGGAGCTCCGGGCTCAAGTATGGCAATGTAGGCACCGAACCGAGTGCTTCACTGATGAAATCGGGGATGTTTTTTTCCGTTCGAGAAGCGGCCGGTGGGACGACGGTTAGGGGTATCAATGCCGTAAGGTGGAGCATCGGCTCGAGCAGTGGTGATTAAGAAATTGTTGTTGCCGTTGTCGACCAGGGAATCACCGAATACGAAGAATGCCCTGGCGGATTCAACTTGAGAAGTTGAAGTTGCCATTATTAGGCCTAGGACCATCCATGAAGCAAGAACAAGTGAGCTCGCCATAGGAGAAGCTACTAGCAAAAGGTTTTCTTACCGGGGATTATGTGTTGGTTTATGAATCCAAGAGGTAGGCACTGGTTATATATAGGGTTGGGATTGTTGTCAAAGATGAAAGACATGGCATACACAAACAAAAGCAATGAAATACAGGTAGGTGTGTTTGGTAATGGTATAGCTATTGAAGATTCAGAATTTTTTTTAGGAATAACATATATATTAATAACACAAAATTTTTGTATATTATCGATGGTGGAATATAATAGTAACATACATGCCCTAAAAATTTGAAAATTTATAATTTAGATTTTTAAAAATTTTAAAAATTTAATTTGCCCCTCAATTGTTTTTTAGAAATTCATATTAAGTTTTAAAATTTCTTAATGTTCTTAATTAAATCCCTCCTATAATTTTTAAAAATACTCATGCTTCTCAAATTTTCAAAAATTTTAGTTAAATTCCAATTTTTTGAAAAAAATGTAAACTGAAACCTTCAAAATTTTTGAAAATGATAATTTAAACCTCTAGTTTTTTTTAAATATTTTATGTTCCGCCACTGGGGTGGACACAAATAAAACCTTAAGACCAGTAAAATCAATAAAAGAATAGTTAATTAAAAAAAACAGATTTTAAGATGAACATTTGTCTACTCTAACCAATATATAAGGGGATAGACCAAAAGGGGCAGATGAGAGCAATCATCCCTTTAAAATTTAAAATTATCATATATTTTTAAAATTTTTTTATGTATTTTCTTTTGA